CAACGTTGGCTTGACGTTCACTTTGTCTGAAAATAGGATACCTACTCTTGCTTGTTTTTGGATTCTCATTGCATGGAATATTGTTTTCCATCCTTGAATTCCATGTTTTCCATCCCGGAATTAAATATGTTTCTTGATACAACATACTGTTAGGTTTTGTTTTTTGATCCTCTCTGCCAATCTGTGTGTTTTGATTGGGAAGTCAAGACCACTCACATTGACAGTTATTACTGAAAGGTACTGACTTATTCCTGTCATTGCATTATTTTTCTGTTGCTCATTCTTTTTTTCCCCTTCTGCTTAACTGCTCACTCTACCTGGTGTATTCATTCCACTGTGTGTTTTGACCTTGTTAGATTCATTGTCTCTTTCTAGGTTATCCTTGAGAATTTTTTGAACTGCTGGTTTGGTGGTCGTGAATATCTTAGAGTGCTCTTTGTCATGGAAAGGCCTATTTTCTCCATCAATTTTGAAAGTTTTGGAGGATGTATTGATCTGGGTTGGAAGTTATTTTCTTTTAGGGATTGAAACACTTTGCTCTAAGCTCTCCTGGCCTGTAAGGTTTGTGTTGAGGAGTCTGCTGAAATTCTAATGGATTGACTTTATAAGTGATTTATTGCTTTCTCTAACAGTTTTAAGAATCTGTCCTTGTGTTGTATGTATGGCATTTTGACTATGATGAGTCATGGAGGAGTTCTTTTCTGATTATGGTTGTATGGGGTTCTGTATGTCTCACTTAGTGTATGTCAAAATTTCTTTCCCCATACTTAAAAGTTTTCTGCTATCATTTCCATAAACAGAGGTTTTAAAAATGCCATTTGTGTTGTCTTCTGATTTTTCACTGATTTCAGTTAATCTCAGATTAGTCTTCTTTGTGTCAGCTAGCAGCTGTTGGATCCATTTTTCACGGTCTCTATCTCTGTGTCTGTCTCTCTGTCTCTGTGCCCCCCTCCCAGGTATCTTTGCATATATGGTCACTTCTACTGCCCCTACTTTCATTAGAATTTTTTAATCTCTTAAATTTCTGTTTGGTACCTTTTCAAGGACTCCAATTCTTTACTAAACTGGTTATTCATATTTTGTATCATTTTGTTTAGCTCAAGTAGCATTTTATTAGTGTCTCCTGTAAGCACTAATAATTTTGTTTATTAAGTCTATTATCTGCTTAGTCATATCATCTTTGAGCTCACCAAGTACTTTACTGATCTTTCTTTTTTTTCTCTTTTTTTATCGTTTCATATAATTCAGGTGTTTGGTTTTCGACTCTTTTCTCATTGATTCCCCATGGATCAGCTTTGGAGGTGTTGGGAGGTTTTGCAGGCATTTTGTTGTCTTGTCTTCTCATTTTTCTTTCTTTTTTTTGTTTTGGTGTTGAGGTTTGCAGGCCCATTATGTGGAAATACTTTGTTGCTAGAATGGAGATCTTCTTAGTGTGTGCTTTTCAGTAATGTACTCTGAGCATGGCTAACTATGGGACTTTGCCTCTGTCTCAAGATCAGACTGCCTCTGTCAACTTGGGGAAGGGAGGATGCAGTTTAATTGGTACAGCATCCCGTTCTCCAAAAACAAAGGCAGTAGTTTTGAGGACATGAGGACAAACCAGATATTGGTATACACTAAAAACTAACTAGTAGCAATTGCTCTGGCACCCTGGCAATAGCAACAAAATCAGCAAAAATAATAGAGTCAAAGACAAACTGCATATTGATATATATAAGAACCAAGAAAAAATCTGTAATTATAGACAAAAGACAAAGAAAATTGACTTACAGTAAATATCTACTAAATGAAACAACTATTCCACCATTAGCAATAGAAGAGAATTCAACAATAATAACATAGAGTCAACTAAATATCTAAATATTAATAAAGCTGAACAATAATACAAATAAATACAGAGGCAATAGGGACAGGAGAAAATGAAAGAAATGAAATTTGAAAAATAAAGGAAAGAAAGATGAGAAAGAGAAAAGAGAAGGGAGAGAAAGGATTCTATTAAAGAGTAAAAAAAAAGAATGAATAGAATTAGATAAAAGTAACAGAAAAGAACTAACAAGAAAAAGAGAGCAAAACAAAGAAAAAAGAATAAGAGAAGAAAAAAAAGAAAAAGTCCTCAAGAAAAGAAAGAAAAATAGAAGAGTCCACTTGTTTTTGGATGAGCGGTTTCTTTCCAGGGTCTGTGGTATTGAAATCCATCACACATGGGTGAGGTATCACGAATCACTACTAAGACCCACTCTGTTTCCACACTCCGTTGTGTGTGGATGCTGAATCCTTTCCTGCAGGGCATAGTTAGTCAATGGTGTGCACCCTAGGGCTATATTTACTCCAGCTACTCCCAGTTTCCATGTCCCTTTAGATGCCCCAAGTGACAGCTTCCCCCACTTATGTGGGTTTGTGAGGTATCCCCTTGCTCCAGAGGTCCCCCTGGCCATTCACCTTAGGGTATGGTATCCACTGAAGCTGAAGCATATCCTTGATCATGTTTGTAGATGGGGTGGGAGAAGCAAACAAATCACTGGGCTTTGTGCTGGATGTAAGTAGTGGGGTAGGAGATCAAGCTGTCCATGGACTTAGTGGAAGCACTTTCAGATCAAGCCCCCTGTGAAAGCCATTCATGATCAGCATGGCTTTTCAACTGGGTCCTTTCCAGGCTCAGCTTAAACTTCTCAGGGCGTCTATGTCTAGCCTGCATTCTCTCTGTCTCTTCTGGCCATCTCTCATCCAGTCACTGTGGTAGGGTGACCTCAGAAATCCTGAAGTGGAGTTGTTCTGTGGTTTAGTTTTAAACAATTAACCTCTTTCCAAATGGCTCCTGATTAAACACTCTCAATATGGTGAGCACTGCCCTGGAGCTCTTCTCCAACTCTAACTTGCCATGCAGAAGAAGTCAATTTCAGGGTAAAACTCCATCCTGTTTTTTGCAATTTATAATGTACATCCCCTTTTGCAATTTATAATGTACATCCTCTTTTTTGGGGGGTTTAGCTTTGTTGGCCTGGTTTGTTTCTCCATGGAGCTGTTGACCCTCTTTGGACTTACCTTGTGTTAGTGGAGACAGGTCTCCTTCCTTGGTATCCAGATGTAGTTATTCAGCCTGCTTGGTTATTTTCTCTGCATTATACTGTGTCCCTCCAGTTTCACTGTAGTTTTCAGTTTTCCTATCAGCTCCCTCCCAATTCCCAGAGATGCACTTCTTTTTTCTTCTTCATCAAGTGTTATTGTTACTATTTTTTAATCCAGTTGTCTCAGGTTCTGGATAGGCGGTTGTTCACTGCTAGTCTTTACTCCACCACTTTAAATCGCCTGACCCTCAGTGATTCCTCAGTGATTTGTAATGTTGTTAATGTTATCAGGCAAATGTCTATATGACTATTTCTGGCTTTCATCCTCTTCCACTTGTTATCGCATAGGTTATCCAGCTTTTCCACAAATACATGGGACAAATGAACTTGAAAAGAGGAAAGATTTGTTTTGTATCACAGTTTCAAAGATTTCAATCCATGACCAATTGGTTCCATTGGTTTGGGCCTGTGGTAGCACAGTACCTTATAGCAGGGCATGTGGTGGAGAAAGCTCATCTCATGACTGGAAATGAAAGAGAAGAAGAAACCAAGGTCCTAATATCCCTCTTTAAGGATATGCTCCCACTGACCAGAAAGTTTCCCATTAAACACCATCTTTTTTTCATTTGTTTTTCTTTTGGTGGTACAAGACTGAACTCAGGGTCTTCACATCTAGATACCCCTCCCAACTCTTCCCCCCTCTACCTTTTTTATTTTCTCATTTTATTTTTTATTTTTTATACAGGGTCTCACTATGTCGTTCAGGCTAGCCTTGAATTATGTAGCCAGGCTGACCTCAAACTCATGGTAATCCTCTTGCCTCAGCTTCCTGAGTGCTGGGATTACAGGCATGCACCACCATGCCCTGTTCATCTCCCCTTTTTTGAGACAGGATATCAATAAGTCACTAAGTTTCCCAGGCTGGGCTCCCAGAGTGCTGGGATTATGGGCATGCACCACTATAGCTGTTTTAAGCCCCACCTCTATTTAGATATGTGCTTCTCAAAGGCTCATGTTGTTCAGGGTCTGTTCCCAGTAGCCCACAGTACTACTGGGAAGAATAAAAGGGAAATCATTCCTTGGACAGAATTCCCATTCCTGTTTCTTCACTTCCATTGGGAGATAGTGTTGTGGGCTGGTGGCTGAGTCCTTAACACATGGGCCTTTTGTGAACATGCCTAAATCAGAGTAGTGTATTTATCCTGTTAGTGCTATATTGTGTGAATTATTATAGCTTTCTAGTAAGTCTTGATATTAGGTAGGGCAAGTCTGTCTTTTTGATAGCAGTATTTTTGTCATAAGAATGGTAAAGTATATTTCTTATAAAGTATAACAATACTTTAGCTATTCTACATATATTTTAGAATCAGTTTGTGAAGTCCTTGTGTGTAGCCTCGCCTGGTGGTACATGTCTATAATCCCAGCAGTTGGGAGAGTGAGCCCAAAGGATCGATATGAGTTTGAGACCAGCCTGGCTATGTAGAGAGTTTAAAGCCACACTGAACTACATAATGAGACCCTGTCTCAAAGAATAAAACCAAAAACAAGCAAAACAAAAACAAAAACAAAACCCTTTTTGGACTTTGTTTGCAATTATATTGCATGCAGAGTCCTACTGGGGAGAACTAATTTTTAGGCTATCAAGTCTTTCGATCATTTACATATTTTTCATTTATTTAGGTCTTTTTTTTAAAGAAGAATTTAAAATGTTTTCTATGAAAGCCTTGAGAGATAAGCTAAGTAAGTAGACAGTTATTGGTGTCTGTTTATGGCAAGACAGAACAATGTATCATAGGCATCTCAGGATATAGGAAACACAGTAAAGAGCAAAAGAATGAGTGACTATCTGTCCTCCAGGACATTTCTAGTACACATTCAGTGTTTGTAAGAAAAAAAAATTATAGACAATAGAGTTAATTGATAATTAACACTTACCCCAGCTTTCATGTAAATAGGAACAAATATCCAACCAAGAATAAAGAGCATAAATACAGTCTGAAACAAAAAAGGACAATTAAATCAGGAGTTCATCTAGGTCAGGCTTTTAAATGAGATGTAAGCTCAATTACCAAGTGTTTTGACAGTAAATACTAGGGACTTTTTTTTTTTTTTGAAAATACAATGTTTTTGTTATTACATGCTTGCAGTGCATGATTACATTTAATTTGGGGGTTTGATACATACCACATCTTGATCATTTTTCACTCCCCACCCCACCTTCCCCTCTCCTTCCCAGATCCCCTTCCCAATGATACAGAATTTAGCTCCATGATTACTAGAGACTTTTTGAGCACAAAGAACTTGACTTTGAGGCACATGATTTTTGCCTTTAAAAGATTCTTAAGCTGGGTGCAGAGGTACCTGCGTGTAGTCCCAGCACTGAGGGAAGCAAAGGTAGGATCTCAAGTTTCAGTACTGCCTGGGAAACTTAGTGAGACCCTGTCTCAAACTAAAGGTAAAAAGGACTGGGGATGTAGCTCAGCAGCATAGTACCCCTGGGTTCTATCTCCAGTACTTCAAAAAAAATTGGGGGAGGTTACTTCAACCAATTTCCAAGGCATTTACTGTTAATTTATTGTTTGTTAACTCTCAAGGAGGAATAAAGGTGGCATATAAATAAATTTAAAAGAAAGTTTTAGAAAAGAAATGAAAAACTTGAAGCCATTCTGGGAAAAGAGAGTTAAACCACATCAAAGTTTCATACAATTAAAATTAAGTAACAAACTTGGCTCTGGCTTTCTGTACAAAGCAGGGAAGAGTTGAATATGAAGAAAGGAGATATCTGAAGATTCTGAGATATACATGGTGGTAAAGGATAAGGTTTCTTATTAGGTTTTGACCCTATAGAATTATTCTTTATTATTTGTAGCCTCTAAGGACGATTATGAGATTCAGAAAGAGTAGAGCTTTCCGATCACACACACACTCACACATGTGAGATAATTTATGTAAATATAGCTTAATAAGCCCAAATTAATACATTCTTTTATAATTTGGGTGAATAGGTTCTATTTCTTGCACAAAATATTCTGCAAATTAAGTAATTCAATATTTGTGTGGTTTATGGTTGAAATTGGTATTCCTGAGAAGTTCATTAGGAGACTGTAGTATCTAGTTAAATATCTCAAAGAGCTCATTTAAACTCATTCTCAGTATGTACAGCAAAGACAAAACATACACAGGTGTTTGAATATATATATATATATGTATTACTTTTTCCTACCTGACTAATCTTTTAACAACTCTTTATTTACTGTATTCCTATGGCCCTTGGAATGCAAATCCTCTGTCTTTTCATTTATTAAGAAAAATGAAAAGTAGCATGTTGCATTGAACAATCAAAGACTTAGTTCTTTTCTTAAGATGTTTTTAACAGTCAAGATTTAAAGTAAGCTATATGTTTGTGAATTGTATTTGGACAATGATAAGGATGGAGGAGTTAGCTGCTGCAAAAATTATCACTTACATTCCATTCGAAGGCCCCAATGGCTATCCCTGAAGACGCTCCTATCCCTGCCAGGCCAATAAAGTGGCTACTGCCAGTATTTGCAGCAAAAAGAGAAGTACCTATCTGAAAATCAAAAGATGGTTACATATCAGAACTCAGTCCAATGCCAAAAATTAATTCTTATAAATGTACACTCTCATTGAATTTCACAAATTCTCAAAAGGGATTATTCCCTAGACAGAACTCCCATTCATATTTCTTCTGTGCACCCACTAACTATGAGTTATAAGTCAAGTAAAGAGGAAGAGAATGAAAAAAGTAGAGCAACTATTCTTACATTGCTACTCTCCACATGGTCCATTAATGTACTTAGAATTCGCCAGTGCAGGAATATTAGCAGATGAGTGTTTATTTGAAGTAATTGAAAAATGGTTAATAATATAGCTAATTATCTACGAGATTGGTTTAAAATGCTAAAGTACATGACTGTGATGAAGTATAATGAGACATACAGAAGGAAGAAGGTAGCTCTTATAAGTGATACAATAAGCTAACATATATGTCACATAATCTCTAAAATTTCATGTGCATATTTTATACTTGTACACATACATGTCCATATATATGCATAGGAGCTTTTCTGGCAATTTATATAATAAAATACTTCTGGGCCTGGAATTACGGTTATAGAGATGGAATGCAGAGAAAATTTTGAGTTCTATACTTGGACAGTAACATTGTATGCACGCACATGTGTGCTTTTACCACCAACATGTTTCCTTTCAAAATTTAAAAAATCCTAACAGCATTTAAAAGGAGCAAAATACCTCCTAAAGGTATAATCACTTTCAAATGGAGTAGAAATATCCGATCCATTTAAAATGACAGTCCAACTATTATGCTGTTGATACCAGACACACTTATAAGCAAATTATCAAAAGAGGCTGACAACAACAAAATTTTAGGTAAATGAAAACAAAAACAAAACTGTATTGATGATATTAACATAAAATAAATTAGCGTATGAGACCAAAAGCAATAAGACAAAAAGCTTTTTTAAAAAAACTATAAATGGTGAAATGCACAAATAAAACATAGTTGACATATACCAACATCTTGGAAGTGACAAATATAAGGCAAAGAAATCTTAGAAGAAGCGTGTAACAAGTACTCATGTAATGGTAGTTATTTTTACCATTAAGAATGTTGACTACATGCAAAATTGCATTCAGTGTAAATTGCCTGATAATACAGAGCATCGGTAGTGAAATGTCCATACAGTATAATACTGTGCAACATGTAAATATAAACTATCTGTGTATCTATGTTTATAGGCCTCAAAATGTATATTTTAGTGCATTGGTAAATGGAAAGGTAATTTGTAAAATCTTCATTCATTAATTCAATAACAATGAATGTCCATTGCCAACTACAAGTCAAATACTGTTCTCGCTGTTAGAAAAACATTGGTGAGTAAAATAAACAAAAGTGAAATCCCTGTCCTCATGAAGCTACATTCTTTTGGGAAGAAGAGAAACAATAAACATAATAAATTGCAGTATTTTTTTTAGCATAATAGTGATGAATACTGTAGAGAAAAAAAAAGATGAAAAAGTGGATAGGAATACTTTGTAACATGATGGTCACTGCAGACTGCCCTGAGAAAAGAGCTGAAGAATACCAGAAGGGTTGTGTTCGCAATGTGTGGGGATATCAGCAGTAGATGTGTGGGGAAACAGGAGCAGATGCAAAGGCCCTGGGGCAGGAGTATGAAGGGAGCATTCAAGGACATTGTCTGAGCTAGATACAGTGTCCTAAGAGGCAAGGCCCAAGAGGGGAGTAGGGTAAAATCATCTGTTGGCTCTTGTAGGACTTTTTAACTGCCGAGCCTTGATTCTGGGTAAGATAGGAACCTTGGAGGTACTAAGTAGAGAACTGTCCTCATCTGATTGGAGTGTTAATAGACTCCCTTTAGCTGCTTTGTTGAGATTGAATATAGAGGAGCAACTGTGAAAGGCGGGAGTTCAGAGCAGAGGCCAGTATAATTAATCTAGTCTAGAGATGATGACAGCAAAGAGCTGGGGATAGAATGGATAAGAAGTTGTCAGACACCAGATATACTTTTAAGATCAAATCTCAGGATTTCCTGATGGGTTGTATATTACATTTGAAAAAAAAGAAAGGTTTAAGGTGACATCAAGTTTGCCAACCCCAGCAACTGGAATATTTGAGGTGCTACTAATGAGATAAGGAAGGAAGAAGATTGGAGAAGAAAATCCAGGTTTCCCTTTGGGACAGGTTCAGTGTGAAGTCCCTGATAGGTCTTTTAAGTGAAGGTATTACAGACAGCTAAATCAGGTAGCCTTGTAGCCTGCTTTCTGGGATTAGATCACCTCCTGAGTTAAACATTAGCCCCGGACCAGTATGCCCAGATCTAAATACAAACGAAAAAGGTAGCCTGGTAATTCAGCTTACACACAGTAAGTCCCCTGAGGCCCAGTGGTCTTCTCAACCTTTGGGCAACTCAGCCCTAATTACCATGTCACTGAGTGCAGATTTAATCTTCTTGTAGGCTTTGTGTGTCATTCCTCGAAAGGGCTGAGTCAAACCAGTCACTGGCTGGAGTCATGCTGTAATTGTTACCTGTGGTGTCAACTTGAATAAGGAATGCATAGCTGATCGGTTTAGCACAGTTCTGTGGGGGTCTGAAATGTGGACTTACTGAAGAGGTGAGACCCACCCTGGCTGTGGGTGGCACCAACCAATAGGCTTGCATCCTGGATGGAATAAAAAGGGAAAGAAGCAATGCTTGCTACTTCTTTGGAGGAGGAGCTCCAGTCTTCATCATCACCTTTGGATGTCTGTCTCTAGGTTTCCAGTGCAGTTTTCAGCCTTCTAGCACAGGCTCTTCAGCCTTCCAACAGCAGACCCTTTGGCTTTTTGACACAGACTCTATGTGACTCTGAAGTGAGCTCCAGGCCTTTGATTTTTTTTTTTTTTTTTTTTTTGGTTTTTCTCCGGTACCGGGAACCGAACTCACGACCTTGCGCTTGCCAGGCAGGTGCTTTTTGCCGCTGAGCTAAATCCCCAGCCCCAAGGCCTTTGATTTTTGACTGGATCCCCTGGCTTTCCAGTGCACAGGTGCCCTGTATGCATTCTTTCACACCTGACTCTGCAGGTGGCCACTGTAAGCCTACCCCGTAAATTCTTTATATCATATATAAATATGTTTATATATGTTATCTATCTATCTATCTATCTATCTATCTATCTATCACATTTTTCCTCGAGCAAACTAACTGATACACACACTTCAGACCAAACCTGCAATCCTACTCCAACCAATAAGGCTTAAAACCTTCAGTACTAAGTCCTCTCAGTGCTGTGAGCTCTTCTCACTGGTCTGCTCCCACCCTGCAAAACATATTTTGTCTTTTTTCTTTCAAATAACTATTGATCCTGCTGCTACTTTTGGGCGTCCTGCTTTGTTTAGGACATCCAAGACCCCCTCAATCCAGTAACAAAACCAAATTCTTTCCATAAGCCTGGGTAGTATTTGAGCACAGAGAATAAATGATTAAATAAGAGCCTAGTTGTTGCTCAATTCCTAAATGAACCTTAGATTCCTATGTGGGAAATGTATGTGTAGTTTTTACAAAGTAAGTTATAAAGCGGCCCTGGTTCAAGCTTGGCATGAGTTCCCAACCTCTCCTGCTCCCTGCCACATCTGCCCCACGATACAGGGCTGTGGATGGCCCAGCTGTCTCCACTGCTTGGGTTTTATGTCACTCTTCTTGTACAGAATCACTTTGTATAATCAATACATTATTTAAAACAAAACAAAATGACCCTCCCCTCCCCTCTTCCTCTTCCCACGGAGCATCACGCTGCCCGGCACCTCCGTGCTTTGGCACATGTTGCTCCTGCCTTCCTAGTCTAGCTGGTAAACATGCCACCTGCCAGTCCTGCTCACACAATCCCACCTCTGGAAGACCTTTCCTGTGGTGTTCTACCCAGTACACCCAAGTTTACCTTTCCTCCATACGGGTCCTGCACTCTTCCTCATAGACTCCTTACCCTGCGCTTTAATTCTATACTCTGCGCTTCCACATAGTGGGGCTATTTTCTACATCCTGGGGCCTGGAACAATGCCTTGTTAAACAAAACTGCCTAATAAATAGTCAACTAAATGGAATCGAATGGAAACATTTAGGTTAAAAAAGAAATACTCAAGAGTCAAGGGAACTACTAATTAAATGGCACATCTAATTTAGCAACTTCAAATTATTTGGGAATCTGACATCTAAACTAACAAGTAACACAAGCCTCCTTCAACCAGGTGGATTGCCATATGCAAGGCTTACTCACCAGTCCCCATACTAGATTTTGATCAGCTAGGAAGAAGCCTTTTATCGTTGAACGATCTCTGGATAAAGCCTAAAACAAAATAAAAAACACTCGAAATGGAACATAGGAAACCAAACTGCTCCACAGACACGTCTCTTAAACAGATGACTTTCATTTATCATTTATCAAATCCATTCTCCCCTCCCCTCCCCTTCCCTCCCCTCCCTTCTCCCCCTCCTTGCTCTGTGCTACTGAGGACTGGACACTCGGTTGCATCAGAATCACACTGACGTTCCGGGTCGGCTGGACCGAGGGGACCCCTGTCTCCTCCGCCGCCTCGGTGTCAGTAATCGCGATGGCAGCGGCGGCCAAGACCGCCAGACCTCAGCCTCTGCGCGACACTTTGCCTGGCACTGCGGCGGCCTTAGCTCTTCATGCAAAGGTGATGACTGCCCCTTCCCGTCCAATCTCCGCGCCGCCGCCGCCACCCCGCGTCAAGGAGGCAGAGGCAGCGCGAGGGAGAGGGTCCGCCCTGCTGCTGCCGGGTTGCCTCCACCGCGCGCACGTGCGGTCTCGTCGCCTAGCGACGAGCTGGGCTCAGAGCCGCTCCAGTGGCTCGGGAACTGAGGACGGTTAAAGCCGGGCGCATCGAGTACCGCCAAGGCCGTAGTGTGGACAGCCCACCAGACCGAATTTATTCCAAACATTTTCCATATTATTGGTTGAATCTGCAGATCAGGAACTCCCAGAGAGGAGGGGCAGACTGTTACTAACGGCATAGTTGGAAGGATTCCCATTATCATCCTGGTTATCACAAGAGACTCCTTAGGTTCCAGGCAGTGGGATAGGAGCGTTTGATCCGTTTGATTATTTGGGCGTTAGTAGGCATGTGTATAGGTGTGCGGGTGAAGGACCAGCATCACTGATTCTTGGCTGGAAGGGTAGGGGATAGCTAAGCAGACGGTGGAGTGGTCTCCTTTCAGGGCTGTGCGAAACAGGATGCCAGGATGCAAGGTGGGGACCCCGTACTGGTGGAGAGGGGTCAGAGCCACCCCAGGTCCCAGCGCCATGCATACCCTGGGCCAGCCATACCCGTAGGCCAATGTACAAGACCAGGAAGAGGTACACAGTCACAATTAATGTATCTTTCCAGTTGTAGGTACCGAGGCCCATAGTGCTCCAGTTGTAGAAGTTATCATGAGTCTCAGCAAGGCCCATGGTGATGCTTCTGGATCAGTTTGGCAACAATGGCTCCAGCTCTAGTTTGCAGGGCATTCTGGGAAGGGATTCGGGGCATTCTGGGAAGGGCTGCGGGGCATTCTGGGGAGGATCGTGGGCCAGCCTGTAGGGGGCAGTGGCTCCAGTTTTAGTTCCAGCTTTGATTTGCAGGGCATCCTGGGAAGAGCCAGAAGGCAGCTACGTGAATCTTCCCAGCAGCCCCTGTGACCCAGGGCTAACCAGGCTGCAAAGAACTTACCCAGAGCTCCTTACTCAGGATTTTTTATCAAGAATTGATCTGATATGCTAGAAAACGTTAAGCAGCTCTTGGTGGCTAGGCCTGGCCCAATACTGGCCCTTTGTCAGCCACAATCCTGTCATGCTCAGCTGAAGGTCAGCGGTGGGAGAGAGGAGCAGGAGACTGTCGCAGGATCAGTAACGGTGTCTTTCAGACTCATACTGGGTGCTGGGGTGGAAGAAACCGTTAACACAGCTCCTGTCTTTATTTGCAAATTTGGAATTTTGTTTGTAGTGGATTTTTGTACCGATTTTGATTGATTAAAATACTGCACTAGAATATTATCTATCTTAAATACCGATTTTTTTTTTCTTACCCCCTCAAATTTTACATCAAGGCAACAGCCTCAACTCACCTTTACCCAAAGAACAGCTCTGGTTTAAAGAACTGATGGCAGACTGTCCTCAGGCCTTTGAAGCTTCCTCTTTTATTGGTGATATGTGCATATTTAATCTGAGCCAAGCATTATTTTTGGGAGGCATTTGTTAACCCGTCTTTTAATTAATTTTAGTAATATTAATGAGCAATCATGATGAGATAGAAAGGAAAGGAGGGCTGGCCTTCCCGTTTCTCTCTGACAGAATGGGGCATGCTCCTCCCCCTTGCACCCTTTCCTGCTCAGAGATTACCCGGGTACTCACCCCAGATCTGCCCAGGACCCTTGGGGTCCTTCAAAGGTCACACTTAAGCTGAAATGACCAGAGTTGAAACTTTGCTAACAGCGGGGAAGCCCCTCCCTGGCTCCTGCCACCCCCGGCACTGCTGCTGCCTCTTTCAAGGAGCAGCAGAAGACTGATAGGGCAAAGACTGAGGAGGGATTGGGGCCCATGTTAATATCCCTGAAATCCCAAACTCCAACACTTTGTGATTAATGCAGCCAGCCTTCCTAAAGATTTCTTTCTTTCTTTCTTTTTTTTTTTTTTTTTGTCTTTTTGAGACAGGGTCTCGCTATACAGTTCAGGCTGAACTTGAGCTCACTTTGTAGCCCAGGCTGGTCTCGAACTCACAATGATCCTCCTGCCTCAGCCTCCCAAGTGCTGGAATTACAGGCATGCGCCACCACGCCCAGCCTAAAGATTTCTTAAAAGCATTGGGGACTTATTTTCACAAGAAACCCCCAGCCACTACAAGAGATTCCTGTCTTGTCCTTAGGAGGCTTTTGAAATTCATACAAATCCAGATGACTCTGTCTTGTAACCTCCAGATGACTCTGCCCCCTTCTGTCATTACTTGGAAAGTTCTCAAGCAGGTCCAGGAAATGTATAAAACTGGAGATGCAGGCTGTTATTGCTCTATATAAGCAGCACTTCCTAAGCCACACTCCTTCTGAAGTCCTGACCCTCCGGTGTTGCAATATAAGTCCAAATACAGCCCTGCTTGCTCAGGTGATGCTGTGGCTTGGTTTGACTCATATTGTGAACAAATATGTCCTTCTTTTATCCAGAGGGGACCTAAAATCTGTCACAATTGGTGCCAAGTGATTAGCCCCTTCTGTGAATCAGGGGTATGCATTCTGGGAGGAGGCTTCGGAATTCTGAAACTTCCGTCTCTGCCTCCTTTTTCTTCAAAGGCATCTTCAGGTTCTCCCCTCCTGTGCCTATTTGCTAACTGGAATATGAGCAGTCTCAGCTGTGCCTCCTGGGGAACTGACCTTCTGGGGGAAATTGAAAGAAATTACTGAAAGAAGAAATTTCCATAGGACTTGAAACTAATCAGGAATTGAATCTTGGGCCTTGTCGGCTTGTTGGCTGGAAAGGCGTTTTTCTTTGCCTATTGGAAATTTTCTGTTGGACGTGGGTCTGAATTCATCAAATTTCCTTGTGTTTAACTCTTGCTGCTCTCTGCTCTGTGTCACTATAACTGCTGTGTCTTTGCTGATGACTTGTAACTGTAGCTTTTTGGGTCATTTCTTATCTGGGAGAATACTGATCCCAAGGTTTACTGGGGGTGCTATTCTTCTGAGTCAGTCTGTTGTTGACTGTCTTTCCTAAAAGTATTGATGGGAAAAAACTTTTCCTTTTGGTATTTGATTGCTATGGCTCTCTTATCATGGACAGTGGTGAAATAGAGGTAGCAAGTTTAGCAAGTCTAAGGTCTTGTTAATGCTTGACTTTGAAATCCCTCTTTTAGGGGCTGGGGATTTAGCTCAGCGGCAAAAGCGCCTGCCTGGCAAGTGCAAGGTCCTGAGTTCGATTCCTGGTACCGGAAGAAAAGACAAAAAAAAAAAAAAAAAGAAATCCCTCTTTCTGATAAAAGTCCTGCCATAATTTGGTCATTCTAATGGGTTCACTGTTAGGATACTTTTTAGTTAGATGGGGCAAGTTTAAGGAAAAATGTTTTAAAAAAGCAAGGTAATTTGCTTTTGTAATAGCCTGGCTTTAGCATAAACGGTGGGATCAAGAACATTAGTTATATCTGGTAATCTGAACAGCTACCTTGAAGACAACAATATGCCATATAACAGCCATTGTCGAATTCATATCATCTTGTTTTTTGGAATTCTACATCATTTCTAATGTTTTTAAATTATTTTTATTCTCTCTAAAATAAAAAAAAGAACCTTACTTAGAAAGGGGTCTCTGAATTATAACACCATTCTCCAGCTAGACTTATTCCATGAAAGGGAGGAAAAGTGGTGAGGAATCCTCTACATAGCTTTCGCGAAGCAACCTGCACCCCACTGGTGGGTATGCACACTTTCCCTGTACCCAGCACCTGATGCAGGGCCACTCTCTCTGCTCCTCTGTGATCTGACAGCTGCACCTCCATGACCTCTTCCTCACCCAAGGCAGAGGCCTCTTGGCCTCTACCCCACCCTCAGTCCCCTGTCCCACCAATCTCATCTCCAATTGGATTATGATCAGGAAACTAACACCCCACCTTACTCGGGAGATTCTGTTCCGATTACAGGAGGTGTCAAGCAGGGATGATGAAATTATCAAAGTACATGTTCCTTTTCCAGTGACAGACATAGCTCAGTGTGAAGAAATATTTGATGGTATTTCAGAGAATCCTGACAGATTTAAGGATGAGTTCATTACTCTGAGCCTGTTATCAGGTAGAGTAGGGACCAACAGTGTCATCCGGATTCTTACCGTCCATTCAATGAATTGGTCAGGACAACTGGTGAATGTGAAAGATCACTGTTTATTTTAAGGCAGAAATAAAAAAAAAAAGGAAAAGAATTACAAAAGAAATGCTCAAGGAGAAAAGGGCACTTTGAAGGAAAGAGGCGATATATCCTGCAAGCAGATTGAGCCACTGCAAGAACAAGCAGGCCTTGGCGCAAAGTCAATTCCCACCGTTCTCTTTTCATATGCTGTTTGATAGTGGATCGAGGTGGCCCCGCTTGATCTCGTGTTAGAAGATTGGCATCAGGTGCCAAGCTTGGCTTGTTCTCATGTCAGAAGATTGGTACCAGTGCAGGGCTTGGCTTGATCTCCTGTCAGTCTCAGGAGCTGCTGCTCTGCATCTGGGTTTCACAAGTCCTTTTCATTGGCTGCTTCTGCCCAATTGCTCCATCCATGTTGCCATGCCCTGAACTACTTCAAGCCTATCTTTTGTCCTTAAATGGAGGGCTGTGATTGCTGTATTAATTCATTGCTGCATTGCTGACGAGAAGGAGCTTATTCTGAAGTAACGGCTGGGCTGTCAGCTAACACCCGGGTCACAGTATCCAGAAGCCCCGGGGGGACACAGTGCACTCTACACAACCCCTGAAGCCCTGAAAACTGTTCATAGGGCAGGAGTGGAGCAATTCATAACTTGTATCTCAGAAAGGATCAAGAGACAGATGTCCAGGTAAGCCTGTCAATCATGACTGGGTCAAAGAAGTAACATGGGAAGGGAGAATTCTGTGGTGTTTTTAAACCACTTGTCAGAAGCCTTTCAAAAGTATACTAATGCCAATCCCCAGTCGGTAGACAGAAGTGCCCTAAATGCCATACATTTCATGATGCAGGTTGCCCCAGATATGAGGAGAAAGTTGCGAAAGCTTGAGGTAAGACCTCAGAGGAAGCTTTTGAGGTCCATAGTAATATGGATCAAGCAGAAGAGGCTCGCAGGATAAGACACTGGAGAAAAGATGGAGTTCTTGAGTGCCTTAATTCAATTGCTACCTCAGGTTAACTCACAAATTTGCTCATTTGACAATTCTTGGGTGGAAATCAGTGTATGCATTGTTGGAAGGAAGGTTCATTAGAAAGAAGCATGTTCCATTTAATCCAGGGAGGACCGGCTGAGAAATGGCTCATTTGGGGCTGAGATTGGACAGACATTCCTGGGAAGGAGAGGCAACATTAGACTGAGGAGGGAGAAAGATCCTCCAGGCTTCACTACAACAGAAGATGCCATCATACCAGTGGAGCCTTGGGTAACCATTGATGTGGCAGGCAAGAATGTCAATTTGCTTTTGGAGACTGTTACAAAAACTTTGCCTGTGACTGTCGTGTTCTTTTATCTTGTGTAGTATGTGGGTCACCAGGTTCCGTGCTCCTTACTTTGGGCTCCATTGCTTGAGTTCTGGCAGGCGTATTAGTTGAAATGGTACATGCACATGGAGGATCTCACTGCAAGCAGCAAAGAGAATATCCCAGGCTTCTATCAGTAGTGCCAAATTGCACCTGGGTATGGCTGTGCACACCTATAGTCCCAGCACTCTGGAAGGCTAAGGCAGAAGGATCTCAAGTTTGAGCCCAGCCTGAGAAATTCAGTAATCTATTGAGACCCCGTTAAAAAAAATAAAGGCTGGGAATATAGT